GCTGTCACATTGACTTATTCATGCAACACTTTTCCCGTCTCTTTCAACTGTGCTACACACTCACAGGGACTTCACATTGAGGGCCTGCGCACCTAAAGGTTCTGGAATAATAGTTTCATATCGATGGGAACAGAACTGAAGCTAACTCCTGCATGCTACTGAGACTGGAAACGACGGAAAACTGTGGGGCCGCCATCATGAAACGGCTTCCAACCTCAGGTTTACATCGATGTTCTCCAATCAGTCTGTGCACACTTGACCCGTAGGTCAGCCTGACTCACCGGACCTGTGTGTGGCTGGCACACTCCGGAAGGATATGACATGTTAATCAGTGAGCTCAGATCCTACTGGTACCTTTGGACAGAGACAATCCCGTTCCTGGTCTTCATGCTGGTCCCGAAGGCGCTTTCTCTGATATCAGCCCTCTTATCCCACTCACGTAATCAAGACAGTCTGTGTATTTTCCAAAACTAATCCCATAAATCTGTGATTAGAAAACTTTGGGATTTTACAGCGGTGATGAATCTTAAAGATTAAGTGCAGACAGATTTGTTCCCTGATAACCAAAAAGAAAAAAAAAAAGAAGCATTAGCCCTAATGGCTTTGTAAATCAGTCGATACTGGCAGCTAATTCTCGCCCACTTGCTTTTTTTGAAGCGTTGAGAAGGGCATGAAGAAACACGGTACACCTGACGGTGATAATACACTCCGTCTCATTGTGCAGCACTGAGCATGTGTTGACTCAGACTTTGCAGAGTCACAGTTGAGAAAGAGCTGGCACTTCTTGCATTCAGGAATTTCCTGATCCCTGCAGGCCTCCCTCTGAAAATCATCTGCAGGCAACAGAAAGAGACTCTCAGGCCACGATAGTCCCACCCACCCACACTGTGGACAGCTATTGGGAAGTTCCAGGTTAATAACTAAACTGAGGACACATGCTGGAAGAGTCAGCAGGGCAGATGTCCTTTTTGGCCGAGTATGAATGTGGACTCAGCACTGTGCGGACTCAGTCAGAGGTGGGAGGGCCTGGAGAGTAACTCCCTGTTTCTTCTTCTTCTTCTTTTTTTTTTTTTTTTACTGAATCAACCCTTTTTTTCTTTTTTTTTTAAAAACCCCAAAATATCATGTTTCAAAATCCTCTCCAAATTCCTAAACATTTCAAGGTGTTGACATGAATACATTTAAATGCTTCGAAAACTGTCTCAATACACTCCCATTTACAGAATGACTATTCTTTTCAACCACATGCCCGCATGAGTCATGACTACTCTGACACCTCTGAAGTTACACTAGAAAACAACTGCGACTTTGAAGGGACTTCCCGCTCCTAGTTACACCTTTATTGTAGTTTTCCTAAAGCAGCGTGTTCTATCTTGCTGGCTTTGACATCAGCACAGCGTTTCGCTGGGAGTGCTATTACTCACTCTGCTTAAGTCACATTCTTGTACAGCACGTACCAGTGCCTCCTTCTTATTTCCCAAACAGGAAGCTCTGGCCAAGACTGTTGCCAAATCATCTGTACTACACCCGTGTGGTGAGGTTTCTTTGAGCGATGCGTGTATCTCAAGACGTGTTCATCCTTCTTTTTTTGAGCCCAGCCTCGTCCGTCTTAGCCTTGACTCTACAGCAAACATAAACTCTTTCAAGCCGTGTTTAATGAAATAGGCTGGACGTGGTATACAAACTTTAGAAGGAAGAGAAAGAAAAAAAAAAAAAGGGGCTTATCAGTGATGGCCGCTTGAGAGTGTCCAGAATAAATATTGGAATTTAAAGTCCAACTTTTGCAGGCAAAGGACATTTTCTTAAGTTGGAACCTTTCAGTGATTTGATTAAAGTCTCGCCTTGAAACATCAGAGTGGTGCAAGTTGAACACACAGAGCTCTGATACTGTGTTAATTTCAAAGAACTAATGTGTGGAGCCAGGTATCCAGGCACGGTGTAGAATACAGGAAAGAGTGGGCCGTCACACACACAAAAAAAGCCTCCAAATCCACGGCTGACGGTCCACCAGAGCCCCCTGGTGGTTGGTTTTGGATATTACACCCTCGATGTCAAAAGGCAGATCAATGTGTTTTCTGCAACAGTTGAAAGAAAGTTAAAAGAGCTAAAACTAGTTGATCCACGTATATCATTACCCTCAATCAACTTAAAAGGCTAGTGAACCCTGCTTAAGTCTGTATAGTGCTAGAACATTCAGTTCTCGTCAAGTATTTCTTTGAGAACTCCTAAAAAAAAAAAAAATCCACAGGACTAGCCCGGATTTGGCTAATCTCTTGAATGATTTAATTGCAGTGGTTCCAAGAAAATAATCGTTTAAGCATGCTGGATTCTTAGTACGTGTGTCAGCCTGGAATACAAACCCGGCAGGTCAGCTTAGTGTTGTTCAAAGCTTGCTGGGAAGTAACAATGCAATTGCTCTCAGGTCTTAAAAATAACCTCAGCAGAATACAAAAAAAAACACAGTCTGGTTATTTATTTAAACTCCCTCTTCTGTGGAATTTAGCCTCTCTTAAAGCAACGTTACGTATCCATTTGAATGGTCTTGATCGTTAGACCTTTAAGGAGTTCTGTAAGCGGGGATGGAGTTCAGAAGCCACAGGCTGCCAGGCTTCCTGTCTGGATTTGCCTCCAAACGCACCGATGCCTCCAGGCATGAGTGTCCTCTGCCATCCATTATGAAGGCTTACTTTAGTCTGGGGCCGCATTTCAAATTACCTCTGACTAATTGACGTTGACAGAGAATGAAAAGAAATGGCATGGCAGGAGATGTCAAACGGAAGAAGACTGATCACTTGGCCAAAAAAGTTGGAGAACTCGCTTCTGGGAACCCGTTTTATGGTTCACACAAGTGACAGAGTTCAGTTTAGATAGACCCGATTTCATTAAAAACACCCCACCATCCATCTGATTAGCAGTTATGTTCTGTGCCAGCATGTCTACTGTATAAATGAGAGTAACGAGAGCTGCGTTTCTGTGAAATTGAAGACAAAGTCCAAGATAAAGGCCCTCTCCTCCCATGTTATTGATAAAACCACATTCATGCATCGATCACAGCGTTGTTAAAAAAAACAAATGGAACAGTCTTTTTTCTTCTTTATTAAAAAAAGGAAAACAAATGTGAATTAGGAAAAAAAAAAGTACATGTTTTTGAGCTCAGCATAAGTATAGAAAAACATGAAAACCTGGTAGGATTGCTGCACGGGTGCTGAGATTTCATCTGTGGCTAAGGCAGAAAAACAACTCAGCACATTTCAACCTGAATTAAAATATATTTTACGTATACAAGGATGCGTCCCTGGCGGGGGACATTTATACATTCTAAAGAAAGGTACAGCTGTCAGACAAAATGATCTTTGTCGAGTCCCAAAAGGTAAACAAATGGTAGCAGCTCAACTAATCTCTTCTTAGGATACTTTTTTTAATTTTTTTTATTCACAACTGCAGCATGCTAAACAAACAAACAAAAAAAACAAGGGAAAACAATCATACAAAACTACACTGCCAGCTCAGGGCCACACCATGATACAATGGATAATCAGTCCAGTGTATTGTTTCCATCCCTGTGCTGGTGTTTCATTTTTGGTTTGTTCATAATCCCCGTTTCACTGCTCACTCAAACTCAGATTCTGACATCAGGGGGAAAAAAAAAAGAAAAAAAAAAAAAAAGGAAATCAACGCACTAGGGATTCCATTTTTTTCTTCCCTTTATTGCTGGTAAAAGATTTGGGGTGTAAGGTACTGATCGTTTCTTTGTTCCTGCGCTGGGGCTTGTGACTTTCACTCTCTACATAATGCATCAGCTGCCTGGGGGGCGGGGTCGGGTTACGGGTCAGGTCGGGTCAGCCTCTGTGGCCGAGGACAGCGGCCAAAGCCAGGTGATACAACCTTTCTCCAATCTTCAACTTGAGAACGCCGGGCCACTTGAGAAGGAGACGTGCCGCTGCTCCATTTTTCTCCGTTTCTGGTGTCAGTTTTGAGCGGCCAGGCGGAAGGACCCACGTACGGGGAGGGAGGGGGGGGGCATTCCATATCATACGCTTGTAAATATTCCATTTATATTTCTCACTGAGCGGAACTGAACTCACACAAGTAGATACGCAAATGTACAGATACAGAAAAAAAAAACAAAAAAAAAAAAACACACATACCATATGTACTCATCCGGCCGAGCGCGGGCCGAACAGTCCCATGGCCGCCCCTGCATGCATGTAGGGGGGGCCAGGTCGCCCCTCTCCCAAGTTCACACACCTCCTCCAATCTGCTGGGGTTGGATTTGAGGCCAGAAAACAGAAACCCTCTCCCCGGTGCTCCGACCGGCTGGTCCGTTTGCGTAGGCAACATAACGTTTTTGTCGTTCTGTGTGAAATCCTGACGGGACACACGCGACTTTAAGGTTTAAAAAAAAAAGAAAAAGAAAAGAAAATAGAAAAAAATGGACAAAACACATTCAAGTGTCGTTTTGGTAAATGAGGAAAGGTACGCGTGGAGGAAAAAACGGGGCGGGCGGGCTGGCGTAACCGGTGGCGCCGGCGCGGGACGCCGACCTTTACGGGGGGTGGGATTTCTGCTGAGTCAGTGTTTAAGTCGGCACACGTTATTTGGGAAGTGGCACCTGAAAAACTGAGGCCCTGAGCATCCAAAATGGCATACGGAAAGAACAGCTGGGGGG